CAAACAAATTCCAAAAACTACAACTTCGAAACCCACTACAGTGGTTCACAAATTTTCTGATACCCCTATTTCAACCATTGACACTCAAGTTTCAGCAAAAGGTTTCAATTACTCAGTTACACCAAGTCACATTTCAAATGAGACAATCAACTGTCAATCTAAAGTAGCCCTATCCAGTTTACCTACTGAAGATGATGAAACAACTAAAAAATATAACTCTAGAGTTCTTAGAAATTTAAAACCTCCTACTCCGAACATTAGCCAATCCGAGAAAAAAGTCCTTAAAAAACTTGATTCAAGTCCAAATCTTGTCATTCTTCCCGCCGATAAAGGATATTCCACCGTCATCCTAAACACTTCTCACATTAATAAACTCTAAAATCTCATTAATACCAGAGACTACAGACCAATTTCTAATAATCCAACAACCTATCTAGACCAAACAATTCCTCGTGAAAAGTTTTCCATAACAACTCGAATATATAACCTACCCAAAATTAATAAACTTGATATTCCTCTACCTCCTAATGTCAGTGCATACAACTTAACTGCACAACCATTTGCTACTTGGCCAAAACTCTACCAACCTCTCACCGAAAATGCTTCATCGTTCGTCAAAAATTCTTTTCATTTTATCGAACTTCTTACACAGTACCATATTTCTCTCTTTACAAACATTTCTATGGACGAAACTCTAAACATTCTAAAATCTAAATACAGTATCCAGCAAGACTACTTATCTCTCATTAAACATTATATGTCCAACACCTATTTCATCTTGCAAAATCAGTTCTACAGACAAATAAATGGTGCCCTAATTGGCTCCCCATTATCTCTAGTAATTGTCACTATTTTTATCGAAGACTTCGAGAACCAAGAACTATCCAGATCATTGCTCAAACTCACTTGTTGGCTACGATGTGTTGACGATCCATTCGTCATTTGGCTCCACGGCAGGGATACTTTGGTGTGTTTTCAAACCCATCGAAATGGTATACATCCTAGTATCCAGTTAACGATGGATGTGGAAACTGATTCATTCCTACCGTTTCTTAACGTTATCGTAAAGAAAAACCAATCCCAAGGTTTTCATGAGTCTGATTATCGAAAACCAATCGTTACTTGCATGCCAACTCTCACCATCCACCTTCACAAATGAATTCAGTCATTAATACCCTTGTCTCCAGATCAATACGTCTTTGCGATGATGCAAGTAAATTCGCTGAGCTCTCTAGTTTAAAACAAACCCTCATCTAAAACGGTTACCGCAAAAATCACATAAATAAGAATATCCACAGACATCAATCTCGCACTCAATCTCAACCTAAGGACTTAAAACAAGAGACATAAAGACAATATTTACCCCCAACAAAAACTTTAATCTATTGTTCGATCAATCAAAGACCACATTTCAAATGAACAACACGGAGTTCATTCCTTCATCAACACATAAAATTCCTTCAGACTGCCCTCCATCTTATAGAGGCCAAACAAATTGTAGAATTGATTCAACAATTGATTCACAAAATTGATTTTGAAAACTTAAGAATATAGCCCCCATCTGCTTCTATAAATCAAGAATTATCCGAGAAGTAATAGAAATTGAAAAAAGGCCAAATTGTCTAAATAAAAGAGATGACGATATCTGCTTCATTCGACATGGAAACCTCTCATAGAAAATATGGTCCGTTCGACCCTCCAATCAAAATCCCGCGTCGGAAATGTTCGCGTCACCAACACTTGTATTTCCTACGCTTCGTTATATTTTGGCTTCAGAGGATTCCGTGTAGACAGTTAATTACTTTCCATGTCTATATTACTCTCTTAATTATTTCTTTGTCATCTTATCTATTTTCTAAATTGTAACCATAAATTATTTATACTTTCCACATGCTTCCATTTCTTTCAAATTTTCCAAAAATAGGTTACAATTTTCCCGTCATATGCATGGATATTTGGTCAATCTCCATAGGTTTGTTTTAACTTCCGTGACATATATTTCAGTTCTTCTTTATCGATGGCCAGAACTTCCTGATCGTCTGCAAACTGTAGACTAAATACTGTTACGTTTCCATTTTAGTAATGCTTTTTTAATGTAGATTTTAAAAACCGTTAAAATAGGGCGATATATAACATCCTTGATGTAATCCCTTTATCACGTAATCTCTGGACAGTTTAATTTTGTTTCTTCCCATTCATCATCATCATCATTGGCTTTTACAACTCTTCGTGAGTTTTTGCCGCGTTTACTATTGCCTTCCATTGATTCCGATCCTGTGCTATTATTTCGCATGGCCTTACTTCCATCTTCTCCAGGTCTTTCCTGACTGCGTCTTTCCACCTTTTTCTAGGCCTTGCTGTCGATCTTTTACCATCTGGTCTTTCCCAAAACACATTGCTAATTAGTCTGTCGTCATCACTCCGTACCACGTGGCCTGCCCATCTTAATCTTTCTTCCCATTCCCATGTGTATTTATGAATTAGTTTATGTTTGAAAAAATAATTCGTTATTCTTAATTATATTTTGGTATAGATGTCGATAAGTCGTGTCCCGTTATCATTATAGATTTTTCTTCATAGGAATCGGCTACTGTATTAGGCCGTCCGCACATGGGTCGACTCGATTTCAATCGCGTAGGTCTCTCCCCACCGCCCAAGTTCCTTCGTTGTTGCATGGAGCTTCGCAGACGGGGCGTTTAGTGGTCGTCTAGAATTGCAAATCTCCTCGTCATGTACGACTCTCGTCACCGTCACACGCGATCGGTAGCGCACGAGAAAGTTCGAGTGAGACCGAGACGCACGTTTTCAGTCATGGGAATAAGATTATTGTATTTGCTCTCTTCGTTTTTTATTGTTTTCTGCCCTAAAATAATTTTTAAGATCGACGAATATTATGTTCGTCGTTTATAGTACTACTAGCTTTGTAGAAATATATTGTTTTGTAAAATAAAATTCTGAAAACAATGAATTTCTGTTTCTAGGTGTTTAATATAAAATTCGGTGGGAAAATGTAAAAATACCCTCAATTGTATAATTATACAATGAAAGAATATGCCAATATGGATATATAAAAAATGCGTTCTTCCTGGTTGGCAGATATGAGCAAACAGCAAACTGAATCGACTAGTGTGCAGTGAACAATCGCTCGTGCAGCAGCGTTCGTATAAGACGAGCACGACGCATGAAGTAAGACGCGTGCCTTCGATCGACCCATGTGCGGACGGCCTTAGTGTATTTCTTGCCAGTTCAGCTGTTAAAATCGCCTAGAATTATGATTTCTCTTCTGTTTCCAATTTTTGACAAAATATTATCAACTTTTTAAAAATGCGTTTTTTTGCTTTGACAGGCTTGTCGTCAGATTGAATATAAGTAATAAACAAAAGTTTTATTTCAGACCAAACTGAACTTATCAAAAATGATAAATCAGAGTTCGTCGAAACGTCTACACACCTTTCTGTCAGAATGAAACTTCTAAACGCATGAACATCCAGAACACCTCTAAACACCCAGAAATCTTCAAATAAAATACAGACATTAAATATAATGTATTGCCTCTATCATCGTATTGCAACAACGTAATCTATAATATAAGGAGAACCCACGGTATTGCTGTAAAATAAAAACATCGACATTTTCGTGAATGTAATAGTAAGTTTTATGAAAATTTAGAAATTGTTTTAACGTTTAATATACTACGTGTTTATTAATAATAATCAGTACCAAATATACTTCAATAGATTCGTAATATTTCTGCAGTCCGATTTGATGTTATTATTTTATTTTAAAATTCAATATTTCAAGTAGAGTGAAAAACACTTTGATAATACACCGTGTAAGCTGTATATTGAGTCTCTCACAATTGGTGACCAGTCGACCGTTTACGTTTGTATCATATCAAAGTAAAATCTGGTATGATTACGAGTGGTATAACAATGGCGACCGACTGTTTGCATCTATCTATCTCTCTCTTTTTTTCTATTGTATTCGAGTAGGCAATGTATAATGAGACTCTTAAAACAGACAAATGTATAGAGTTTTATAAAATAGTGAATAACACCATATTTTACTGTTTGTAATTTTATTTTATTGACTAAAATTACATACAGCTAGAATAATATCCAAACATTGCAATTTTACAAAATATTAAATACCTACTGATGATTTTAGTTTCCCTTTACTCCACTTTGGATTCCCTTAAAGATTTTAAAAATTATTTCCCTCTAAATTTAAAACGTATTTAACGCTGTTTCAAACAACATCTTGTTACAAAGATGTATAAGTTATCTAAGCCTAATTTTGCTTAGTTAGGTACTGGGTGTAACAGATTAGAAAAACGAGTTGAGACCCAAAAGTTCGACACCAAGTCATAAGTTAACTTGTAGCATATTCACAGCAGAACTTTTTTGATTGTTCAAAGTCATCCAACATACAAATAGGCAAGATATTCATTTTTGTTTAATTATATCAGATTCTTTCAATGTAGTCAAAAGTGCAAAATATCTATGCGAATCATCCTATAGAGAGGATGTACAATAAACTAATTGACTTAGAAAAAAAATCCTAGAAAGAAAAGTCTTTCTATTGAAAGCTCAAGAAAATTTCAGAGTTCACTCATGCCGATATCATCCCATATCAGCATCGAAAGTAACAAGCAAGCAGATCTGAGTGAGCGTAATGCCATTATCAGCAATAAATCTGAAATTGAGTGTCGGAATGTCGCTTGAAACGTAAAAAAATATTTCTGGCAGAAAATGAAAGTGGAGTAAATCTGTTCCCGTTCCAGGCTAAGACAGTTAAAAAGTTGAAGTTAAAAATGTTTCTCCTACATAGACGTCTACAGGTAATTAATATACGTGTAAAACTAGGGCACTGGAGCGATCATGTGCTCATCTTTTTTCGAATAGCTAATCTTTGCAACTTGTGATGTAGTAGAAGAAAAGTCAACGTCTTTTGAAATATTAGTTGAAGGGAAAAATAAGTATTTAAAGTATATAACTTACCTTTGGTAATATTTAATCGTATTTGTTCTTTTTCCCAAGAGGCGAAAGACGCTTTGAGCGCCTCTGCCATAGTTTTGTTCGTGCCAGGCGTCAGCGGCGGCACTTGCGTGGGAATATCTGAAAAAGAGCATACATGCTTTAATGCGCTGAGTTTTAAATAGGAGAAATAGTTATGCCAATATGCGTACAATATCGACAAATGTGCTTATAAGTAGTACTAAGTATTCTTAAAACATTAAATTGACACGAATACTAAAACATCTGCACAAAGATTGGATTTATATGCCAAAATGTATAAATGAGAAATATTTCATCTTCACTCGATTCAATATACATCTTAAAAAATAAAATAAAACCTACAAACATAACACTCTTTTCGTCAACTTTTACGGTATTTTCGTTGTAACATCAGCTTTCTAAGATGAGAAAATTTGCTCAACACTTTTCAATTGGTACTTTCGTAGATGATAATATGCCAACACTCAAATTTAAAAGCATAAGTTAATAATTAGCAATGGGGATAATATTTATATTTTATATTTATAGTAAAGTATGCATCAGATCTCATAAAAGGACTAATATAATTGTTGAATTGAATTTTTCGCAAGAACCATAAACATATCGTATTATATTTCTTTTACATTTCATTCATTGTGCATTAATGTTGTGTCAAAGACAAAGTATATTATTGGAATTTGGCAGCACAGACGGAGGATTTTGATAGTTTGAGTGTTATTTATAAAATTGTATTGCATTTATTTAAGTTCATGTCAGTTTGTACATGTCAGAACCTCTTGTAGGTATGATGAGAAATAATATTGGTTGTATTGTACAAAGATGCAGTTAAAAAGCTAGATCCAGAAACTAATCACCCGGAATAGACAATCTTCCACCTGAACTATATAAAGAAGGTGGCCATGATACCATTATGGCATTACAGCAGCTTATAAAAGAAATATGGACACATAAATCCCTCCCCAATGATTGGAATATTGAAATACTTTACACCAGGCACAAAAAAGGAGATATCTTTGAATGCTCCAACCACAGAGAAATTACGGTTCTAAATGCAGCGTATAAAATATTTTTCACAACTATGCCACTGTATGGCATCATATGCAGAACGGATAGTAGGAAAATACCAGGCTGATTTCAGTGGTGGTCAATCTACAGTTCACCAGATTGCAACCCTAAAACAAATTTTGGAAAAAACACTGGAATATGGCATTGATACTCATCACATATTTATAGACTACAAAGCAGCCTACGACTCTGTGAATAGAAGAGAAATATTCAAAGCAACGAAAGAGCTAGGAATACCAAATCAGTTAGTAAATTTAACAAAACTAACTCTTGAAAAAGTTGAATGTAGAGTACGAATTCAGGAGGAATTGTCTGAACCTTTTAAAACAAATAATGGGCTGCGCCTGAGAGACCCTCTATCCTGTATACTGTTCAATCTGGATCTAAAAAGAGCCATACGTATGTCACAAATCACAACCATTAATTCAATATATGATAAATCAGTGCAAATCCTTGCCTATACTGATGATATCAGTATTGTCTCCCCTATTGGTAGAAAGGAAAACAATGTACGAGAGGCGTATGTAGCATTAAGAGAATCAGCTATAAAAATGGATTAAATAATAAACACCAACAAAACGAAGTATATGAAAATAAGCACGCAACCACAAATCCTACGACTAGTCGTTATAGAAAACGACGTCATCGAAGCAGTGGACGAATTTGTATACCTGGGACCGCTCGTTAACACTGAACACTGCGGATTTTGCACGGCCAACAGATGCTATTTTGGGTTTAATCTCCTTCTTAAATCCACAATTATATCGAAAAATACAAAAATAAAACTCTACAAAGCAATAATACGCCCAATCCTAACATATAGTTCAGAGACCTGGACTCTAACAAAAAAATAATGAAAACATAGGATGTGTCAAAAGAAAAGTATTAAGGTGAATCGATAATTACTCAGGCGAATGGAGTGTGGAGAAGACGATAAAATTTCGAACTTTATAGAATATACCAGGAATCTGATATCGTAAAACATGTTAAGATAGGACGTGAGGTGGATAGGACATGTAATGCGGATGGAACAGAATGACCCAGCTAGAAAAACGCTCCTTGATAGACCCATTGGTCAGAGAAGAATAGGAAGACCCAGAACAAAGTTCCTTAATAACATCGATAAAAACATGGGAAATATGGGAATACATGTTTGGCGGAGAAACTCGACGGATAGGGACGACTGGAGAGAAATTCTTGAGGAGGCAAGAACCCACGCAGGGCTGTCAAGCTTGATGATGATGATGATGATTATGATGATGAGGATGTATTGTAGATTTTCCGGTTAAAAATTATTAAAACTACCTACGCTGTGTCTCTTGATAACTAAATACCCCTTGGCTGCACCGTACTGATCACAACCAATGAGTCACAACCACGGATTTATTCCTGATGCGGGTTTTTCGATTTTCAGTACCTTAATTTGTTACTATTTACTCGCATTGACTTTTTTATATTTTAAACATTCTAAACGTTTTGATGTTCCTTTTTGCAGGTTAACAGCTTCCTCCATGGTTGACTAGTTTCTTGTTCTGAGATGCTAGGGTCTTCTGACATTTTTACCTCAAATTAGTTGCACATACTGTTGACCTTAGTTTATTACTATTTACTCGCATTAATTTTTTATTTTTGTTATACATATCTTTGCTATACTAAAAAAAAACTATATTCACAGGGCTCTGACGACGTAGCGCTTAAATATAATATAAAAACTTAAAGAATTAGCAATTAAGGCTGTTTTCGCAGTTATAGCATACTGCGATTTGAAGTGGGCGTATCACTTACTTTTCTAATATGTACTTGCTTATGTCAGACCGTACGTGCCGTACCGAATTTAAAAGTTTGGATGTTTATTCAGTGGCGCCGGCCGACGGGTTGTTTAATGATAATAAATGCATTATTCTCCATTCAAATTAGTTTTGTCGGAATACTTTTTTTTTTATTAATTATCGTCGATAATGTTTTAAAAAGAATTAATCACATTTTTAATTTATATGTCTTAGCTAAACATAGTATTAAATAAAAATTTGTGAAACGTGACTGCAAAAAACACCATGGTGTTTATTTATAATAAATTTAAAAGAACATACGAATATTATTATCAAAAAAATTACAATTTGTTGTCACAAACAAATAAACAATTTCGCAGTTATAGCTTGAAAATTATTTCAATAAATTATTTATTTGTTAGAGAAAACTGATATTAGCGTAGTAAAAATTAAACAAAAAATATTTTTATTTATCTATAAAAAATTGGTACCTGCGAAACCATCATAATAGTAAATGTATTTATTTGGCAAGTATTTCGAGGCGACGCACTGCGAGGAAAAAGTTCTCTGAATGGAATATACATTATTTTAATATATTTATAGGTTGCAGTTACATAAGAAAAGTATCCAATTGATGAATAAAATACAAATCGTGGATAGTTATTTCATCATCATCAGTGGCATTACAGCTCGTCATGAGCCAAAGGCTTCTTCAGAACAATCTTCCATTCGCCCCTGCCTCTGGCAACTTTCTCCATGCTTTAACTCCGATGGATTTTAGATCATCCTCTATGTTATCTTGATACCTAAGTTTTGGTCTTCCTCTGGATCGTTTTCCCACTGGTCCTCTTCGGTCGAAAATTTTTTTGATCGTTTCATCTTCATCTCGCCTAATTACATGTCCTATCCATCAAAGGCGTACTAATTTAATAAATTTTACAACGTCAGGTACTACACCTGAAGAAGCATCATAGTTTACTTTATACGATCTTTTTGACCAAGCACCATCAGCTATAACGGTTCTTAACCCATTTCCGTCGGAATCTACTTCACCAATTTCTTTGGCTAAAGCTAATTCCTCCCGTCCAGCCTCTTCTAAGGAATCACAAAGTGTTTGGCTGATGATATCTGCAACTATTTCCGTATGTTTTGCATACTGTTTGTAGGACATCACAGGTATATTTAATGCAGCGTGCTGCTGCTGTATGTCTGAATAACCAGAACCATTCAAGTTCAGTGAATTGTTACCAGAATCCTATGTTGCTATCTCCTTTTCAATATTCCTCATTTAACATTTAAAAGTCAATGTACTTATCAATCCGTCCATTTTTTCTTTGATAATCTCCATATTAGAAAAGTTGCATGAAAATGGAGAATGATTATTCAAACCTTGAATAGATTTAATGAAAAAGTTTATGTCCACTATTCTTCTGTCTTCTACCGAAAAAGATGGTTTTTGCGGAGAGGCAATCTCAACTGACTGAGAATGACAGCTATTACTAGAAATAACGATAAAACTTAAAGTATTTTCTGCAAATGATATTATTTGTTATTATTATTATTTAAGAGTAAAACATTGTAATATTTTGACCATAAACAAATAATATGTAAGGTCATGAACCCTCTATTTACTTACTTTACGGTAAGTAAATAAAAAAAAAGTAAAAAGGGTTACTTACGAATCGACACTACAACTAGGTAAAGTAGATGTTTCTGCTAATTCTTGATGGATTGAACCATGATACTATGAATAACAAGATAGGCTCTTCCCGTATCACAAAATCGGTCGTGTTCGCGCATGCTGTCATTGGAGAGTAGAATTTGAATTCTTGTTAAAGTTAAATGGGATTTGTATGCATTCTGTAATGAAATTACTAGACGAAAATAAGTTAAGAGGTTCAATAATTACAATAATTGTACACATAAGGATATCTCCAAACTATTTATTAAAGATTATTTGTTGACACATACAAAAAACTGACATTTCGAATGTCAGATATATATATATATATATATATATATATATATATATATATATATATATATATATATATATATATGTATATATATGTATATATATTATATATATATATTATATATATATATATATATATATATATATATATATATATATATATATATATATAAAGTTAAATAAAAGCTTTTAAAAACGGTTGTAATATAAATAATAAATACTTACTGCAGTGCAATTGCTCTCGTTTTCCTTGACATAGGACGTTTACTGGGACTCATTTTTTATCTTGT